GGACATTTCGGAACCGAGTCGACGAATACAGACTCAAGGCAGATGTCATTAAGTTCTGCCTGTCCCCAAAACAACTGTGTGTTTATCTGAATTTGGCTCCCTTGGCTGGCCTTCAAGGTCATCTTATCTGAATTCGCCTGGAGAACATGTGATCTGACGCTCACCACCCCCTCCCTGAGGAATTTCCAACTGATAACCAGATGAACCAGCTGAATAAACTTGTGTCATCATTTCAGGACTCTTGGATTCTCATAGACGTTATTCTTGGCCATTCCTCGACATACCTTGAGAATGTTTATGGACCTCACTGGAGGACATTGACTGATTATTATATCCTATCAGAACCCTTACAGTGACCTGGAGAGCATCTATAAGCGTTGCTGACCGCTCTTGTCTCTGTTTGCAGAATGTTTATGTCACTATGTGCCGTTTGTGCGAGGTGTTTTTTTTAATATTAGAGGGTTTTTTCTCAGTCAAGAAAAAAAAAATGTATAGGAATTTTTTTCACCTCCAACTCCTACGTTTCCAGTTAACCGCCGTTTTTGTTTGTCCAAACAGGTCTCACTTGTAGATGAGTCTTCGAGGCTCAATGTGATTTATCTGTTTAAATAAAGGTTGAATGAATGAGCTGGTAAGGCGAGTTGGATTCTGGACACGCCTCCAGAACCGGTCCTGAAAGTACGGTGGAAATTCTACGTGTAACAAGCTGATCTGAGTCAACCCGAGCCAAACCGGGCTGAAGAGGAGTGGTGGAAAAGGGGCATTAGTTTCCTCGATGTAGAACTGATCAGAGTCAGAGATTTATTTGTTGTACACACCACATGTGGTACATGTGGTGGAATGAGATTATGTTCACAAGGTCCCAGTTACATCCAACAATAAAATGTATAAGAAAAACAGTAATAACATCTAAGATATGAACTAAGAAAAACATCAACTAAATATACACTAAGCACTCATAACATAAAACATTGAACATCACCACAAACATGAACATGAGTCTGTGAGCAGATGTGCACGCATGAACACATCAACATTGAAACAGATCAGCAGCAACATGAAACAGATCAGCAGCAACATGAAACAGATCAGCAGCAACATGAAACAGATCAGCAGCAACATGAAATAAATCAACAGCAACATAAAACAGATTAGCAGCAACATGAAACGGATCAGCAGCAACATGAAATAGATCAGCAGCAACATGAAACTGATCAACAACAACAACATGAAATAGATCAGCAACAACATGAAATGGATCAGCAGCAACATGAAATATATCAACAGCACCATGAAATGGATCAGCAGCAGCATGAAACAAATCAGCAGCAACATGAAATAGATCATCAGTAGCATGAAACAGATCAGCAGCAACATGAAACAGATCAGCAGCAACATGAAACAGATCAGCAGCAACATGATGTGGTTTTTCACAGTGATTATTCTGGTTAGAGATTCATGAGTCTAACAACCTCAGGGTAGAAGCTGTTCCTCAGTCTAGTGGTTCTACACTTAATGCTCCTCAACCTCCTTCCTGAGGGGAGCGGGGAAAAAAGCGTGTGCGCTGGGTGAGTGGGGTCCTTCATGATGCAGGTAGCCCTCTTCCTGCATCTGGAGGTGTAGATGTCTGTGATGGTGGGGAGACTGACTCCAACATCTTCTGTGCAGCCTTCACCACTCTCTGCAAAGCTTTTCTTTCTGCAGCTGTGCAGCCTCCATGATCACAGTCCTCCTGGGACCTAACAGCAAACACAATATTATTGTTTGTAACAGACAGAGGCCTCCATGTTCAACTGTCCCCCTCTTACAATACTAGTATTGCTAGTATCACTCAGCCCTCTGTGAATAGCAAGTGGCCATCAGGACACTAACGATAGATCGTTAAGCTGATAGTCCTCTTTTATCATGTGACACTAGAAACACTAGAAACACAACAAATAATTATTGACTTTTAAGGTTACTCAAGGTTCTCACCCTGCTATTTGAAGAGTTAAAATTCTCTAGAACAGCAGACTACAATCCTGTCCTTCATCAGTGGAGCAAATCTGTTCAGATTTAAAATTGTGTTATGGTTGTGGTTTGGAATGTGTTCACCCTTTCACTGGCATGGGATGGACGAGGCCTCAGGCCTGCAGGCCAAAGCAGGCCAGACTACATTACTTGACTGAACGTCTTTCTCTTTGTTCCTATTGTCCTTCGGCAACTAACCCTAACCTAAAAATAAGCTAGCAAAGCAGAGGAGCAAGCAAACTGTATCTGCACTTGATCAAGGACAAAACAGAAAATGAACCCAACAATAATTGTCTTTGAGTTGACACAATGAGATGTTCCAATGCATTTTATTAGGTTGTATACCTTATTTAAGTTATTGTGCAGGAATCTGGGGCAGTAATTACAAAACTACACTACAGGCATTAACAATACTACAAAAAAGAGCAATAAGAATAATCCATAAGGTGGGATATTTAGAAAGCACTAATACATTATTTGTAAAATCTAAATTATTAAAGTTCACTGACATAGTTAAACTACAGACAGCTCTAATTCTTTATGAAGCAAAAAATAAACAATTACCAGAAAACATTCAAAACCTGTTTAAGACTAAGGAGCAAATGTATACGTTAAGGAGGAATCACAGTTTAAAATATGCAAATTTAGAACCACTAGAAAAAACTTTTGTGTATCAGTAAGTGGAGTCAAACTGTAAACTGAGCTTTTGCATGTACTGTAAATACTCGTTAGTTATAGGAGAATATGTATTGCACTGTATAGTTGCAAAAACATTGATACAATACCATTTACAAATGTATCAGACAAGGCTTGTGTAGCCGTGCCAAGATGGCCGCACTCAGAGAAGCCACAGCTTCACTGGCTCCCGCCCAGTGAGATCCCAAAGCTGCCAAATGTAAATTCTTTTCTGATTTAATTGTCTCCAACTCCCACAACCCCCGAGTTCTTTTCTCCACCCTGAACTCAGTTCTACACCTCAGTGAGCCTTCACCTCTGGAAGCCTCAACTGAGCTGTGTGAGAACTTCCTCCATTTCTTTTTAGAAAAAGTGGCAAACACCCGGGCACTCATTTCTCCACCAGCTCATGATCTGTCCATCCCATCTCAGTGTGTGGCTGTGTTTGACCACTTTGAGCCCATCTCTCTGTCCTCTCTGGAGCAGGTAATGTGCAGCATGAAGCCATCTGGTTCCCCCTTTGATGTGGTCCCCCCTCGACTACTAAAGGAAGTTTTTCCTACCCTGGGTCCTTTTATCCTCACTATTCTGAATAGCAGTTTATCCTCAGGTGTGGTGCCAAAGACTTTTAAACATGCTGCTGTCCAGCCCCTCCTGAAAAAACCTAACCTTGACCCCTCAGTCATGTCCAACTTCCGGCCTGTCTCCAGACTCCCATTCACCTCTAAACTACTGGAAAAAATTGTGGAGTCTCAGTTGAAACAGTTTTTGGGGGATCACGCTATCCTTGAGTTATTCCAATCTGGCTTCAAATCTCTCCATAGCACTGAAACTGCTCTACTGAAGGTTTTTAATGACATTTTCATATCCACAGACGCAGGTGATTCTGTGCTGCTTGTCCTATTGGACCTTACATCTGCTTTTGACACCATCGACCACAATATCCTCATTTCTAGACTGGAGCAGTGGGTGGGCATCACAGGGTCAGCCCTTAAATGGTTTGGGTCCTACCTCTCTGACAGAACCTTCTGTGTCAATATCAAAGATCTTAGTTCGGCATCGACCGCACTCCAGTGGGGGGTACCGCAGGGGTCCATCCTCGGTCCCCTTCTCTTTTCTTTATACCTGCTGCCACTAGGTGCTATCTTCCGCAAACACGACATACCCTTTCATTTCTATGCCGATGATTGCCAAATTTACTTCCCCCTGAGGCACAGAGGCACACGCTCTATTCAGCCTCTTCTTGACTGCCTGGCTGACATCCGGGACTGGATGGCTTTAAACTTCTTAAGCTTCAATGAGAAGAAGTCTGAAGTCATGCTGTTCCATCCCAGTGGCTCACTCATGAACCATGACATTGACCTTTTCTCTCTAGCCCCGCTAGAGAAACAAAAGGTGACTAATCTGGGGGTGATAATGGACCCGTCCTTAAAACTCAACAGTCACGTAAACATGATGGTCAAATCCTGTTTTTTTCAGCTGAGACGGCTGTCTAAGCTGAAGCCTATACTCTCCAAAAAGAACCTCGAGACAGTGGTCCACGCCTTCATAACATCTAGGCTTGATTACTGCAATTCACTTCTGTTTGGAATCAGTCAGTCCTCCATTGCTCGTCTACAACTGGTCCAAAATGCTGCAGCCCGATCTTTAACTGGTACAGGCTATAGAGAGCACATCACGCCAGTTTTGGCCTCCCTGCACTGGCTACCCATTCACCTTCGGATCCATTTCAAAATTCTCATGTATGTTTTTAAATCACTGAACCGTTCTGCCCCATCCTATCTCACTGATCTTCTGCAGCCATATGTCCCACCGCGCTCTCTGAGGTCAGCAGACCAGATGCTTCTCTCAGTCCCAGAAACCCGTCGTAAGCTCAGAGGTGACAGGGCTTTCTCTGTTGCAGGTCCACGACTGTGGAATGAGTTGCCACTGAGTGTCCGGCAGGCTCCCACACTCTCAGTCTTTAAGTCTCGCTTGAAGACCCACTTCTATTCGCTTGCCTTTAACACGGTGTGATTTGTTTTGGTCCGGTCTGTT